CAGGATCAGCGCTGAGCTCCAGCTGGAGCCTGGTGCTGATCCTGGCGCTTCCACTGAACCCTGACAGCCCTGCAGCTCCAGCCATCTCTCGTTCAAGCTTGTGCGGTGCTGCCATCGGTTCAGCTCATTCCCCTCCCCTGCTACTTTTCTAGGATGGTCGCGTACCACCTGCCAGGTACCAATGTACCACAGGTGGTACGGTATCACTGGTTGAAAAGCCTTGAATTAAATAGAAAGATAGATAGATAGATAGATAGATAGATAGATAGATAGATAGATAGATAGATAATCTTATTGTCATTTTTTAATTGTGGGCCCAGTGACACAATTAGACTTATATACCGCTCCTTAGTGATTTACAGTACTTTCTGAGCAGTTTACAATGTCAGCATATTGCCCCCAACAATTTGCGTCATTTTACCTCAAGCCCATTGGGATCAAACTCTAGACCAGACATGTCAAACACAAGGCCTGGGGGCTGGATGTGGCCTGCAAAGTGGTTTCATGTGGCCCGCAAAGCCATCCTGGAAACAGTGAGGGAACGGCCCTTGCTGCCTTGGCCCTGGCCCAGGCTGGCCGGGAGCCAATGTACAATTTTGTGGTGACCATCTATGCTGAAATGCATTCAGTCTTAACTCCACAAGGCTGTCTAAAAACAGTGAGAAACCAGGTCCTGCTGTGTTGGCCCCGCCCCATGGGTGCATGCTGGAGAGGTGTCACCCTTTATGAGGAATGAAGAAATGGTCCATGCCTTGGTGCTTGCCCCGGTCTCACCCCCTTCTGCCAGAGACCTCAGATCTGTCCCACTCCTGCCCAGGTCCCCATAGGCACGCTTGATACAAACGATGTAGAGCTGGCCATGTCCACCCAGTAGGCCACACCCACTCCATCCACAGCCACCCAGTAGGCTGCACCCCCCCGCCCCCCCGAGGGCAACCGCAATGCTGATGCGGCCCTCAATGAAATTGAGTTTGACACCTCTGCTCTAGACTGTAGGCAGAGTTAATCTGCAATGCTGTATTCTAACTACTGTACCACCAGGGCTCCTCATTACTATTATTATGGTTCGTCAGGTAGTCAGCCAGATGTTCAGACTGGATTTGGCATTTTTATCCACTTAAGTCCTTCCCAAGGATCTGGGATAGGCAGATATTATTATTATTATTATTATTATTATCATCATCATCATCATCATCATCATCATCATCATCATCATCATCACATTTATTTGCTCCTGTCCCATGGTGGTTCAAGGCAACTCAGGACAGCTTACAGTTGTTAATGAATTACTCCAGGTGTTAAGTGAATTGTGCCATCATTAAGTGAATCTGGCTTTTCCCATTGAACTTGCTTTTTGGAAGCCAGCTGGGAAGGTCACAAATAGAAATTGAATAACTCCAGGATGCTACAACCATTATAATATATACCAGTTGCCAAGAACCCAAATTTTGATCATGTGACATTGGGGATGCTGCAGTGGTTGTAAGTGCAAGGACCAGTTATAATTTACTTTTTTCACTGTCATTGTAACTTGAAACAGTCACTAAGTATATGGATGTACCTTGAAGGCTACCTGCATAAGCAGCCTGTCACAATTTCTACTCTGTCACTTCTTTTCACATTTCTAGTGTTTTTCTGGTACAAGCTGGGGAGGGGTTGAGATTTAGTTTTTGCAGACACTCTCTTCAATTCCATGACCCTTTGAATCACAAATAAAGTTTTGAGGCTGATTAGCCTCCGATTCAGCCTGCTTCAGGGGGAACTGCTTCCATCTGGATATCTCTGAAATCTAGTTTGGGATTCAGAGATCTCCCTGAAATCAGTGCAGCAAACGCAATTATGCGTTTCTGAGACATGGGGCCACATTATTACTCTTTGTATCTTGCAATACTATCAAAGATTCTGGTGGAAAGGAAGTTGATTGATGGGCTTCATTTGCGCTGGGTCTCAGCACTATGTGCACTTGATTTCAGAGAGGAGGGAAATATTTAAGCAGCCCTCAAAACAGGAATAAGGCGTAGGCTACAATTTGTCTCTGCTAGTACCGAGAATGCATTGTCCTTCGGTTTCACTCCCTTTCCTATCACTGCATGATGCATCCATACAGATCTAAGCACCAACAAATTTTGTAAAACCTAAGCACTTTTGACTTAACCTTTCAGGCTTCCTTGGAAAAGCAGCTTGATCTGTATTTATTTCAACTGGTAGAAGGCCTCATGCTTACCCAGGCATTTTTTGGGTATTACAAAAAAAAATTAGGACTAACGTTTTCTGATATTGTCTATTTATTTTATTTTATTTTATTTTATAAGACTTATATACCGCTTTAAGTGCAAGCACTCTCTAAGCGGTGTACACCAGTAAGCAATGTATATATATATATATATTTACATTGCCCCCAACAATCTGGGTCCTCATTTTACCTACCTCGGAAGGATGGAAGGCTGAGTCAACCTTGAGCCGGTGAGATTTGAACCGCTGACCTGCTGAACACAGTCAGCTAAAATGGCCTGCAGTACTGCACTCTAACTGCTGCGCCACCTCGGCTCTTAGCACCTCTGTGCAGATGCTAAGTTGTACAGGTCATGTTGGACGTTCTTGTTTTGCTAGAAGACGTTTCACTTCTCATCCAAGAAGCTTCTTTGGTTCTAGCTTCTTGGATGAGAAGCGAAACATCTTCGAGCAAAACAAGAAAGTCCAGTTGCCATTTGAAAGAAAGCACCCCTGGGACATTTTCTAATATTGTTTAGACTTAGAATGACTTCTACTCTATTTTTTGGAATTCTGGAAATATTTCAGCAGCTCTGAGAGTTTTATAATCTAAAACTGGATGTTAGAAGCACCCGGCTCCTAGATCTCTGGGCTTTTGCAAGCTGGGAAGGCAATGTTTTCTCAATGTTTGGGCTGAAATTCAATCACCCATCTGGGCATCTGTTAATCCAAGATTTACGGCAGAATTTTTCAAACTTGGCAATTTTAAGATTTATAAACTTCAGCTCCCAGAATCCCCTAATCAGCATGCTGGCTAGGGAATTCTGGGAGTTGAAGTTTAAACATCTTAAAGCTGCCAAATTTGAAAAACATTGATTTAGAGGGAAAGCAAAAGTAAAGATAACATGGATGTGAAGTATCTTCCTCAGATAAAGGTTGCTGTGTCTCTCTGTATTTCTAAACAAGTCAAAGAAGGCTTGTTTTCTTTCAACTATGTATATCTAAATACTAACACACCCAGAAGTACTGCAGGTATGCAAGAAAGTGTGATGGTGCTCTCTGAAAGTAAGAGAGCTGATGAAGTGCACTGATCATGTTGTCTAGTGTGGTAATGAAATGCCTGCAAGAAAACAACCAAGCTCAGAAAGCCCTAAGAGATGAAATGTGTCTATCACCAAGAGGTGAAACTAACAGGAGAAAGGGTTTTAAACTCCGCTGTCTTGTTTTCCAATTCCTGGTTGAGAATTTTGAATAATTTCAGGGCACTGTTAGATATGTTATCCACCATAAACCTGATGGTATTTCCTAAATTCACTTATGTTTTTTTTTTATATTATTATTTCAGGTAATTGAGAAACATGGAGTTGTGTGTGTTTGTATGTGGGGGTTGTAGTAGAAAACAACAACAATAAAAGGTTTACCTTCCAGGAAAAATACCTCTAATGAATAAAAGTTCTATATTCATATGTTAGCAATTCTTAAACAGGAAATAATTCTCCCCAAAGGGGTTAATTGGGCATATCCTAGAGGTAATGGAGCAATTTGTAGTTGCTTGTTTGTGACTCATGGATCCCCTTTGGGGCTGCTGTTAATATGTTTGTGTAAAAGAACAGATTCTTATTTTTTTGTGAGGATAATGAAATTATACAAGACTGGGAAAAGGTTAATTGGGTCAGACAATTTAAAAACCACCACCATATGTTGAAATGCGAATTTTTAGTGTGAATATCAGTTACAACATTTCATCTCATTAAATAAAGAAATGCATACAGTAAGTCCCTCAGGGCTCAATGTTTTCCACTGGAAAATAGCTATACAAGTCCAGTATGATTTTCAGGCCTCCACATATAAAGATTCCTCCCATCTAACTAAAAATCCAAATAAGATTGTCTGAAATGGTATAGGGCAGGTGTGTCATACTCGTAATCTCACGTGACATATCACAACTTTTTTTCCATTGCCAGCAATGGGGTGGGTGTGGTTTTGGCATGACGCATCCGGCCTGTGGGCCGGCAGTTTGACACTGGTATAGGTTTCCTGCCTGAGCAGGGGGTTGGACTAGAAGATCTCCAAGGTCCCTCCCAATTCTGTTGATCTGTTATCAAACTGTCAGGCAAAGGATTGTTTGTACTTCTTTGAAGTACAATGAAAACCTGAGCATAGCATCACATTCAAATCAGTAATCTGTTGTGTTAAGGAAGCAATCCTAGCTATGTTTATTTGGAAGTAAATTGTGCTCAGGTAGGATTTGTGTTTAGGCGTTTTAATAAGAAAAAATTAAATAAAATTTTCTAGGACTACTTACACTGAACTAATTTAAGTGGACATGTAAGAAAGCTAAGAAATACTGGGACCAGAATTCAGAGAAATCTTAAAATAAATGTACAATCGAAACCAGATTGTACAACTAGGTTTGATGGACAAAGAGATTGAAAAAAAACCTGGGACTTTACTTTTATACATAATAACAGCAGCAAGACTTTTATATCACATAGATGGAAGATTTTTTTTTTTTTTTGAGATCAATCTTTGGGTATTGTCTTCTGTACCCAAGGCAGTTCTCCATTTAGAGCTTGACCATGTCTCCCTGGAGGTGGGCATTCTGATTAATCAAACAGAGCTATTTATTGAACAGTTTTTATTATGGAGGGTTGGCTCCCTGTCCTTTTGTTAACTATTTTCAAACTGGGTAAAAATGCTAAAAAAAAAAAAATCTCATAACACATGGTTTCTGTTCCTCTGTGGCCCACAAGGGATGTTAAATATCTACACATAAGAGAAGCATACAGTTGACAGTCAAGAAAATATGAGCAATATATTTGATATCGGAGGCACCACATATACATGGGTTTTCATGTTATGGCAGATGATGGAAGCACCTATAGGAATCCAACAACTCAACTCTTGATCTAGAATAGGCCTTTCTTAAGAATTGAAACAAACTCATTGACAAATATTTTTCAAATTGGAAAATAATTTTGTTTTTTTGCCAACCAATTTAAAGATCTCTTTTTTTCCTATAAGAGGGTATTGATTTGGCTGTTGTTGTTTTTTTTTTGGTGTGTGTGTGTGTGTGTTAATATACAGTTTCATTCCAGCAATCCAGAATAATTGGGATTCCAAAGTAAGTGATTTCCTTCTCCTTCAATTCTTTTCGCCCATGATTTTTCAGGGAGGCAAAGGTTTTTTGCACACATAAAATTTTTTTGTATTACAGGCTACATCGTTCCATTTTCCAGCCTCATAGAGCTCGCCGCAATCTTCATTATTGCTGTTGTCATTGGGTTCACCTTCTAACCAATTCCTAAAGAAGGAAGATAGTCAAATTAGTCTGAGAAAAATTCAGAAAGAGATGCCATTCCTTTCCACTCATATCATCTTCTGTCTGCCAAGTATAACGCAGAAGATCTTACTTTTCCAGTGATGGTTTTGGGTCAGTCATGTATATCCCACGGTTTTCCAGTATGAAACTTCAGGAAGCATATGTAGGCTTTCAAAGCTCAGCAGGGTATCTGCCAGATTGGGACTGGTTTAATATTAACACAATATCTATCTGTACACCATGCCCTGCATCTTATATCATTGTCATCTCATCTATAGAGAAGGCTGTTTCTTCACCTGACTCTTAGTATTTACGCAAGAACATAGAAATAGTGCTCTTCTGGATTTACAAATGCCAATGGTACTAGCCATCATAATTAATATTGAGGTATATTAGGAATTATAATTCAGCAACATCTGAATTACAATTCAGCAACATCTGGAGGCTATTATCTAAAGACTTTTTCATATGTAATCACATCTTTGGCTGCTTCTTGGGGATTTAATGCAAATTATCTCATTCAAATCATTTGGGATGGCCACTGTCTGCCACATTTGCTGTCTTCATAACTTTCTTCATACCATTTCTTGCTCATGAATAAGTATATCCCTAATGGTTGACATTATTGACTTCTTGTCAATAGCCAAGGCTCAGTAGAAGCCCACTGCCAGCTACCTGAGTCTTCATGTTCTCCTTGATAACACTGTTTGTTCATCTTAGGTGAGCTAGCAGTGAAAGGGAAGGTGGTTGACAAAATAGATGCAATGAATGAGCAACAAGGATAGTAATGATGAATGAGAGGGTGAATTCCAGGTTTTATTGGCTTTTTAGAATGTGCTTATTGTGTTCCATCCTAAAAAAGTCTCAGCAATTCTTCCTCACTGTTACTTATGTATTTACATTTGCTCTGACCTCAAACTGAACATCTTCTTGAAAGAGGAGAACAGGGCAAGTGGAAGAAACTTCATTATGTTCTTACTCTGATTAGAAAGAATAAGTGAAAACATGGAGGAGAGACAGCAGCTATGGTTGCTTCTAGTGATCAACTGGTCAACTAATCCTCTTCACCAGTGAGGCCATCTTGTAGGAGACACATTTGCTATTTAAAACCATTGTTAAATGACCAGCTTTTTCTTCTCACCATCTTTCCAAGCCAAATGCATCAGAGCTGCTTTGGCTATTTTCAGACATTAGGAATCTTATAAGCATGGGCATGTTTATATACTTGCAAGTGTCTAGAATGCACATAGAACTTCCAGCCAATCAGTATTTGCTCTTCCTGACTACTCTCCATTGCCTATTAAATGCTTACTGGTAGCATGCTGGCAATTCTGTACATGATCTCCTTTAATCTTATGCCAAGCACTGCTCTGATACGGTCTCAGGAAATAAACAAGATAGTCAAGAGCACTGGCTTAAATTGCTCATAACTGTAAGTATTCAGTTTTGAAGTCATGTGACCAACAGGGTCATCTTGCATGAGTATATGGAAGTTACCCTCATTTGGAAGATCTCACTGAACAGTCACTTCAAGTAGATCAACTATATATTGTTTTAAAGGATGACTGTATTTCCCCCCCCCCCAGTGGTTCCCTAATGTATTACTGACTGAGAGTACGGTTAAAAAATAAATGTTATCTTGGTTCCTTAATTCTGCCAGTTATTTGTCGATACTATATTGGTCAATATTGTACTTGAAAGTCATGAAATTACCATAAGTAACAGTCAGATATTTTATAGGGATATCTTATGGAAAAGGTCTGGGCAAGTAAAGTTCACTCTTTATCTGTTTTATGTGTGTTAAATGGAAGATGTGAGGAAGAAAACTGGAAGGTGAATTAAAATAATATTCAATGCAATATAGAATTGTGTAATATACAATGTCTAGGCAACCCAAACAAAGACAATTTTCCTTTGTGCCAACAGGGACTTGGCCTCCTTATTCTTCTAACTTTAGAAAAGCTTCTCTGCTATACTACATGCAGTTTTTTTCCTCCTTTTTTTGTTGGGCTTGCTCTGGGTTGTAGTTTAATAATATTATGAAGGAACAGATTCTCTATTCCTGCATCATAGTGAACAAAGAATATGAAGAGGCTTGGCTAAGAAGGAATGCTTAAGATACCAACAAAATCTTATATTAGTCTTTTCTCCCAAGCATTAAGAAAGTTTAGATTTGGTGGCAGAGTTCACGTCTGTTAATTTAGGGCAGTATTTCTCAACCTTAATCACTTTAAGATGTGTGGAATTCAACTCCCAGAATTCCCCAGCCAGCATTCTGGGTGGAGAATTCTAGGAGTTCCAGCATTTTGCCTGAGGAATTCTGTGAATTGAAGTCCACACATCTTAAAGTAACCAAGTTTGAGAAATATTGGTTTAAGCTAGAATGTTGAATACTTTTAATATGAAAGGAGCTACATGAAACTCCCGTTTCTGCTTTTTCAGGATGGAAAATTCAGGAAATGACTAATGGTAGGATGTGAAAACTGCACTGCATTGGCTTGTCTTACTTGAAGCTGGTTCTGTAGTCTGTGTTATCAACCCATCTCCATTGCCCTTCAGTATTGTGATCACTGAGTCCAATCCAGAAGCGCTGACCCCTGGCTTCAGTCTCAAGGAAATTCTAGGGTGCCAAAAGTTGGAGAAGTAAGAAGGAATCAAAGTTATAACAGCAGCAGCAGCAACAACAACAATGTGCCAAAATAATTAACTTGAATTGATCTGGAAGAACTCTTATACCTGTATTCATAATAATTAACTATAGTCATATGTTACAAGGCCTTTCTAAAGTGCTTATTCCAAAAATATGTTTTGGTTAAAAAATATGTTTTGGTTAATTCAATGATCATGACTCTGATATGTATGTGTAAGAGACCATCCGGTTAAAGCTTTGTTTATGAAATTGATCTGCCTCATTTGTAGCATTTAATAAGGTCCTTTGACAAACATCATCTTCCAATTGCAATTTTCTTGACTTTTCCCACCATCAGTTCTATGTTTCTTTCCTATGTAAAAAGACCATGGAAGAACCCCACCTTTCTTTTCTATTTTTTTAGGGAGGAGCCATTTCTCTGGAATATTTTAGTATAGCAGCCTTAATTATAGATGGTGCACTGAAATATATTAGTGTGTCTTATGAAACAAAATATAAGGATCTACATCAACCAACAATCTTCTTCCATGGAGTTCGGTCACATTTTTTTTTAGCATCATGTATCATTTACAAGTGGGAATTTGTGGGTGTCCATATGTTGTGAATATAATTCACAGCATCCTTCACCATGGGCCACATTAGCCGGCTTGTTGAGAGTGGTGGTTCAGTCAGATCTGGAGGAATATGTTCCTATTCTTGCTACTGTGGTAGCTGCCCATTGCACCTTTGCATGAATCATAGCTAGAGGATTACTTCTGTAGGCATGCTGGATTGAAAACCAGAGCCAGCAATGTCATTAAATGGACATTTCTATACCACCTCTCTTTTTATTCCACAAGCATCAAAAGCAGTGGAAGGCAATCTGTGATTGTCTTTATTTCCATCAACTCACAAATAATATGAGCAAGTAAATTGCTGCCCCTTCTGAAAATCTCACCCTCACATCACTCAGAGAAAAAGAAAACATCCCACCCCTTGAAAATCTTAAGTCTTTTTTGTTTGTTTATTTGGATTGTCTTGAACGATTATTTTTACTGTATGCTACCCAGGCCTTACAGAGCTGGGTGATCTTATACAATTTTGAAATACATGAAAATAAATAAATTGAACTGCTTGTTATTTCCCAAGCCAATATGATAGTATAGGGAAGTGAGAAAAAGAAAATTCAGTTTCACCCTGGCTTGTTTCTCTAAGTGAGTGGCAGCCACAAAACTTTCAAGTTAGCTTTTCTCTTACACAATATGAAAGGCAGGATCAGAATGGAGGGATAAACAAGAGTTCCTTTCAAAGAGGAAATTGGCCCATAGTGAATTAAAACTAACAACACAAATCGTAGATTCTTAGTGGATTTCTCTACTATGAAGTTAAGCTTAAAACCGAGGTCTAGTGTGGTTTTCCATACATACGCTGGAAACATTGCTCAGCTCTGCAGACCCCTATTGACACTGCAACTTTGTAGGAGCTTTGGATCTAATTTCCTTGCCTTCCTCAAAGAATCTTGGGAAATGTAATTTGCAATATCAGAGAGGACTTTCTGTCCCAAGTTTAGATCAAGACAGCAGGTCAAAATAGCTTTCTCTTGGGAAGACAGTTGCCCCATGTAGATATACTCCATTTCCTCCTTGGGACTAAAAGGCAAATTCCAAATGAAGAAAAGGTGGCCCACTTCTATCTTATACGGATTCATGCTTCTTTTAAAGTTAAGATTACCAGACATTTTTATTTCATCTCAAATTATCCCCATGTCACCTATCTTAGCTTTTGATGATTCTTAGTTCTGTTAGACTTGTAATATCGCTTTGTATCAGTATGGTGTGCCATGAGTGTAAATCTCTGTGTAGATAGGCAATAGGAACATATAAAAGATATGGTCTCTCTTGTGACAGAAATAAATCATAATGAGCTGATTGGGCATGTCCCATGATTATATCCCTAACTAGAATCCACAGCGACATTTCTTCATGGATAACCTAATATTATAGCATCCACTTAATAGTTGATAGTTATGATTGCTGTTTATCGTAGAGGCTGACAACCTTTTGGTTGTTCTTGTTTGTGGTTACACCAGGATCATGGTGGGCAAAGTGGTGGTTTCATGCTATCACTGCAAGGGGCAGGACTAGAATTTCAAGAGGTGTACATCTTTGAGGGGAAAGGCTTTGTTTGAACAGTTTTGTTATTTTTATAAAGAAAGGCCGATGAGCCTTCCAAATGACGTAGGTGGATGCTGCTTTTTTGGTGACATGGCAAAATTCAGTAGTGCAATATCTAGATCCTGCAATCTGCTCTCCAAAAAGAAAAACAAATATCCGGCTTTAATGAATATGCTGATGTACCAAAATAATGAGGAGTACTTTTTACAGATTAGCTTGCTTTGTTCGAAAATGTACCAGAGGACATATCTAAGCATATTTTACCTGCATAATGTGTTCAATGTCGATCAACTCCTAGTTGCTTTTTTACCCTAGAGTAAATTGTCTTTCAAAAATCAAGGAGGAAAAAAAAAGGCACTAGATTGTCTTTCAAAAATCAAGGGGTAAAAAAGGCAGTAACTTGTAACAGAGAAATAGTGGGTAGGGACATGTTCCCTCTCAAATAGTTATGGGTAGTCAGGAGTTGGTAGCAACTTTTAAGCCTATATCTTCTCCCAAATAAATACTAGGATTCTTACCTGTTCATACTGATTGGTAATGACTACCAATTCTGAATTCTCTTCTTCACACTTACTCTTTGCTGTGTGCCAAATAACTTGTGTGAAGGAGAAGAAGTAACATGCACCATCAAAATATTTCCATTCTCTGCTTTTGGCTCCACATGGGTACACTGGCAAAGGAAAAATAATAATAATAAAAGAACTTTTCCAGTTTGGTTGCCAGAAGTTTTGGTCTAGATGTATGCTACACTACACTGGAATTTTGGAAGCATGTAGTTTTCCTGCAGTAGAAAAGCAGAAAACTAAGAAGGATATGATCAGCTGGGAACGGGGAGGGTTCTACAGTGGAACACAGTGAGTGGATTGAGTGTTCCCCTCTGGAAAAACTCATGGGAATAAACCTAGTCTCAGTGAATTATTTAGTGTATTGAAAAGAGGAAGAGACCATGTTAGAATTTAGAAGAAGGAAACACAATTGTCTTAGAGATATCTGAGCCACAATTGTAGTGGAAAGAAATTATTGCCCTGGGCAAGCAGTTGGATTAGTCATTAGAGGACCTCCAAGATCCCTTCCATACCTAATAATAACTTACTGTGAAAAGCAGATTTTATGGTGGAATTTGATTTTCAAGACAGTAACTGTGTTTCCTCAATGGACTCTTGTACAGAGGCTTAGAAGGCTTACTGTGTTTGACACGTTTTCTGGGATCACATGGTATGCAAAGAAATTACTTGTTTAAAACTGAGGTGCTAGAGTATAATCCTGCGTGGAAAATACAGCCTATTGATATTTATTGTCCTAAAGAGCTCCATTGTGGGCTCTATTGGGATCTACTTCAATCAGTACGCCCCGCACCCAACAATTAGGTCCTGGAGCTTGTACATTTCTTGAAGATGACTTACGGTTTTCTAGATGTTGGTCCCACTTGCTCCTTTCTATAAGAATAGAATTGTACACAATAATATTACAAGTTGAGAAGCAATAAAAATACCATATTCAAAGGGATCTTAAGCACTCTGAAAAAAATCTAGACCTGGAGTTAGCTTTGTAAGATTAGAATTCTATATCATATGTTTCAAGCCTCAAAGAAAAGTATCCTTCACAAATTACAATCTCTCTCTCTCCCTCTCCCTCTCCCTCTCCCTCCCTCCCTCCCTCCCTCCCTCCCTCCCTCCCTCTCTCTCTCTCTCTCTCTCTCTCTCTCTCTCTCTCTCTCTCTCTCTCTTCCTCCTCCTCCTCCTCCTCCGTTAATATATTTGTGCCTTTCAGGGCACATGGAGAGCTGATGCCTTGCTGGCTTCTGCTAGCTAGCAGATTTTGTGAGGGGAATTGTGACCGGATGCTGAATCTGAGTTGGTGTTAATTTCTCCAAAACAAAGGAGAGATTGTTGAGATCATCTACAACTATGGACTCTTCATAAATAAACCATGGAAACTGTCATTCTTATGACTGGCGCATGAGTGGAAGGCTGAAGTTGGTGCTTACATCAAGCATACTTGCAAGGTAGCCCATATGGACATTAAACTTGACTGATCCCTACATATATTTAATCACTTCTGAGGATTTTTAAAAAAAGTTTTGTATATTGGAGAGATTAAGATCCTTCAGTCTGCAAGTATTATATTTGTTAGATGAGTTTTCACCTCCTTAAAAGACAATGGTGTGCATATGATATTTTTTTAGACTATTCAGCAAAAGGATGCTTAGTACAAGGATTTTTGAAAGTTAACAATGGATTAAGGGACCAGAGAGATTTTAAATTACAGTTTTGAATTATTTGGAAGATATTTTCCCATTTGAAAAAATGGAGATTGCTTTGAGGGGGATGATTAATGGTAAGGAGACCTTGAAGGCTGGGCACTAATGGAGCAGAAATCCTTAGTGCAAATTTTTGAATACCATTCAGTCAAGCTTTTGGACAGAACGGATCAAATGCTTGATAAAACTGATGGAGCATGGTCTAATAAAGTGGTAACACAAGAAGGAGCTGCAATGGGTGTCTATTAAATTAATTTGAAGGATATTTAAATATAATTCAAGTGGATCTGATGGATGAGTTACTCCCTAAATGACATGAACAGATATTAAATCAGGAAACTGATTTAGATTTTTTTTCCCTTCTGGAATTACAAAAGAGCTCTGCTAAAATTTGGAAAGACCTTTCTTTAGAAGTGTCTAACAAAAGGATAGATTTACTTATTAATACAAAAGAAATCTATTATGCTTCTGAAGGATTTTTACTTAGAAACACAGATGATGAGCAACTACCACTGGGACTTTTTAAATAAAAGGATAAAAGAATAATTATAAACTCAGGGAAGGTTTATAAGATTAGCTTGTTTGACTAGAGTTAAAAGAAGAAAATAGTTATATCTGGTTACTCTTACTGGACTTTTGCTGACAAAGATTGATTGACATAACATTTGAACTTTGATTTCTTTACTTAAAGGATGAGTCATGGGAAGGAAAGAGATTATGCTTTATTTAGAGAGGGTGATAAAACTTCTAAAATGGATTTTAGCCTGGTGGGGTGAAGAGGGAAGTTACTTCTTTTTTCTTTCTCTTTCTCTCTTTTCACCCTTTTTTCATCCATCTGCAGACTAATTCTTTGCATTGCATTTTTTTCTGGCCAGGAAATAAAATCTCTACAACAATTGATTTATAAGTCCCTTGTCTGAACACAGAATTTTGGCTTATTTCTGGCTTGTTTTTTGGTCCCATTGTGGGACAGAAAAAAATGAAGAAATGAAAGCAAAACTGTAAAAACCTAAATCAACCTGATTATTTTACTTACCTGCATGACTTTCTCTGCTTGTTCAGCAAACCATGATTTATAACTTAATCTTAAAGACAGTGCTGGATTGTAAAGTACGGCAATTAACTATAAAGCTGATACTTATATTTTGTCTCTCAATGCACATAGCGCTATATTGTACCAAGTCAGCTGGAAATTAATGTATGTTTTGTGGGTTCAGTAACTTGTTTTTTCTAGAATACTAAGATTTTGAGAAAGTTTTAAAGCCACTTTCTACGACATTGTGTCCTGAACCCATACAGTATGTCAGAAGTCAAAATAGCTGATTTACCCTGGGATGCCACAAGCCCGAACAATATGATGATCAGCAGGTAAGAAATGGCCAGAAGCACATAAATTATAGTAGATGTCCATTTCCATTGTGGGATAAATCTGTCTTGAGAGAGAGAAGAAAAAATGAGAGAGGGAGAGGGAGAGAGAGAGAACAAATTAGAATCTTGCATGAAAATTCTTTGCAGTATTAACTCCTTATGTAATAAAACCATTGGATAGACAATGCTCTATAGTGTTCTAGTAATATTTCTAATGTTAGGAATGCGTGCACACCTGGCTATGTAGTCTTGTTGCATTTCCCATAGTAATAGTCAATAGTGTAGTTTTGTATATAGCAGATACATATAGCAAAACATAAATAATCCAGCAATAATGAAAGAATACATCAGTATTTATTCAGAGCTCTTTTTTTTCTTTTTAAAAGATCAGACGTAGCTCTATGCTGAGCAGTGATGCCACCAAAGTAATATTTTCTGGCTGAAAAGTTTGACTCCTGGAGAATTATATTACTAATCTTAAATACAGGGCATATGTTAGAATCTTTTAATTTTTCTCTGACTCAGAAAGTTAATCCAAATTAGTCAGGTTTATGCTCCTTTATACAAATTAATAAAATAAAGAGGAAACATGTCCAAAATATCACGAATGCCACATTTTAATCACCTACTGTATTCTCTGTATAAAAAAGTATTGAAATTATAGGCATAGAATGATGTAATATAGACAGAATAATTCTGTTTCACCACTGTTTGTTTATCTTTTAAATTTAAATTCACTATTTGTTAAAATTTTATGGATTCTTGAGACTTTCAAAGCAGTGAGCTTAATCTGATAGCTGATGAGTTTTGCCTTCTTCAGATTTCAGAAATTTTAAATTTAAAATATTAAAAAGAATTTAAAATAATTTGCAGTTGGAAAAGGGGAGAAAAAAGAGGATGTTGATGTAAGAATGTTTTAAATGGATTGGGAGATTTGAAATATTGACTATATTTTTGCTGTAAGATTTGAAAAAAAAAGTATATAATTAAATAATATACTGATGGGAAATGACTGAAAGGAAACCAAACCCATATTAGGAAATGAGGCTTGATTAAGGCTGCAACTGGACAGTACAGGGAACTAAAGGACCAGACAAAAAAGCGATAAAATAACTAAGCTTGGCTATAACTTTTTCTTATCTTAAGGAGATTTTTTTAAAAAATATGGGCTGACATATTAATAGCTAATATCGCAGATACACATTTCAACGGATAAACTTTAGAAGTTGATGAGAAAAACTTTAAGAAACTTTTACCTGATGGAGAACAACAAAATTGAGATTAGAAACACGGGAATGCAAAAGACAAATCAAGAAAAGGATCTGGACATGGAACAGCTGCGACAAGAAATCCTGGATGATGCCCCTTTATGAGATTTACAAAGAAGCCTGGTAAAAACTTTGAAGATTTCTTTTAAATGCCAAAAAGTGATAAAAGACCAGATCCTGTGATGCCATAAGAATGATTTAAAGGTTAAGGTTGTGCAAAGCAAAAATGGAATATAAAAGTGGACTATTTGATAAAGGATAAAATATTTGTTTGGTATTTCTGGTAACTCCTAAAGGACTTTTTGTTGAACTAGGATTGAAAAGATGATTTCTGGATTGCATATAGATAAAGGCTAGGCTATGGGAAGAAGAGGGTTTTTTTTTTTTTTAATTTATAACTTTGAAAGAGGGTGGAAAGTTAGCATAATAGCTTATGCATGACATGATGAGGGTTGGGAGGCACTTCTTTAATATTGTCTTTTCTGAGGGGTCCTTGGTGCTCTCTGAGCTTGCTTGTTTTCTTGCAGACATTTCATTACCAAACTAGGTAACATCATCAGCGCTAGTATGTCTGCAAGAAAACAAGCAAGATCAGAAAGCACGGACCCCTCATTTCAACCCTGAGCTACAAATATTCTCCTTCATTGTCTTTTCTACTTCTACTTTTCTATTCTTTTTCTGTACCTTTTGAACTTTTCTTGTTTTCTTCTAGCTTAGTTTGCATTAGTTATTGCTATGTTTATTGAAAGCTTCAATGCAATTATAAACAAAAAAAATAATGTAACTTCAAAGTTAATGAACCTATGAAGAAAAGAATGAGAAGAACACAATTTTTCAGAGCCCCTTACTCTGGGACAGAAAGATATTTTGAGATTAAAAGACTTGTGCACTCACACTCCAACTGAGAGTAGACACCCCTGTGAGCTGAAAACAGACAACCAGGAATGCCTTGATCCAACCAGGAGAAACTAGTTTTTCAGAATGTCCTGATATTCTGAAAAACCACCCAGAAATAAATTGAGGATAAAGACACTACAGAATTGTGGGAGGCTAACTCTAACATTTAGTTCATCCCAAATGATCCTGGAACTATTTCAATTAGAGCAAGCCCTCTCTAACTCTACTGTTATCTGAGTTTTATGATAAATATGACATTGCATCTCCTCTTAACCCAGGCAGACACAGCTAATATGGAGCAAATCCGTTATGCTAAACAAATTCTTAGTCTTTCCCCTACCATTAAGCTGAATCAATAATAAGTATTTACCAATTGTTCTTGCTGGCATGTTTGTTCTGGTTTCTGTTAAATATTCTTGATCTTTCATTTGCTGTTCGCAGTCATCGATGGGAATCATTGTGCACTGAGCTTATGATTGCGATGGGTTTTTATTAGCTTGAATTGAGGAACTTAAATATAATACATACACTCCCCCTCATTCATTGCTGCTTCTTAGAAATGTCATAGGAAATTTGCTTGGAATTAGGCTCTTACTGGGCAGGTCCTGTCAAGAAGCCTGAAGCAAGATCTTGAGCTGTTAGCTGGGATAAATATGGGTTTCTAACTCATAAGGAAGTGGAGAACGTTCTTTGGACTGCAAACCTGGTCACCTCTTTCTTAGAACCATGCCTCTCCTGGCTTAGTAGGCCACTCGAGAGATGACTTAAATTAAGTCCATGCTTGATGTTAGCTTTCTAGAGGGAAGGGGTGATTCTACTGGCCTTAAAGGAGACAGTAGTATGCCCCTCCTCAAGAGGGCATCACCAGATCTTACAGTCCTGGACAATTTCCATCTAATTTCCAACTTTCCCTTAAATAATTTTATGTTAATTTGAATGTATCTCTTGTGAACCTACAGGTAATCCCCAAGTTAGGAATGTTCATTTAACGCTCGTTCGAAGTTACGCGATCAGCGCCCCCTAGTGTTTGCAAGCAAGTCCAGAAATTATGAATATTGCACAGTTGTTTGCCCTTACGAATGACTGCAGAGGCTCTGCAACATTCACCCTATTCCCCCCCCCAACTCCTCACACCTGCTTCCCCCTCTATTCCTGCCACACCAGACTCACTTACCTTGCAAAATCTGTCTCCTCTCTGCCGCAGTTTCTTTCCTTTGAGGGAGAGGAGAAAAGCTGGCTAATGCTTTTTGTGTTGATAATGGAAGCTCCTGAGTACGTAATATCGCAAGAGTTCAAACACCCATTCTCTGCAAAAGAGATCATGGCCCCCCCCAAAGCTTTCATTCTCTGGGGAGGGGAGTGTTTGCTTCCTCTGCATGCCTATGGGGCAAAGCGTGGAATTATCTGTGGCCCAGCTGAGTGGCTCACTTATGTGTCCCGGCCTTAGTTTGAGGGCAGAATGAAACCTTCAACTGCATGGGGAGGCATCGCAGGGCCAGGTCCCTGTCACCCACATCCAAGCCAGCAGCAGCAGCAATCACCTGAGCAGCCATGATCCCCCTCCCCGGCCAGCAAGCCACCCTGTCCGACCTACTCCTTGCCTGGCTGGCCGGGTGGCACAAATCCTCACTGCTCTCCTCCTCCTCCTCCTTCTTCTCCTCCTCACTCAAGCAGCCGCTTGAGTTTCTCGGCTGTGTCTGAGTGTAAGAAAGTAGAGGCGCATCAGCAGGATTGCTCTCAAATAATACGACCCGGGTGTGCTGCTTGCTCGCATGCGCTGGCCTTATTGAGAGGAATCCCACTGCTGTGCCTCCACTTTCTTCCACTCAGATGGAGCCGGGAAACCAAACCTGCTGCCACTCATAAACTTTTTATCAGAAGGGAGACTTTGGGGAAACTGGATTCTCCCTCTGTGAGAAAATGGGGTGGTTCAAAATGAAGCAAATTCACTGCGTTTTAAAGCGTTGCATTTGCACACAGAAGGAGCTCCCCATCTCCCCAAGGTCTCTGTTCAGATAAAAAGTGTTTGAGAGGCAGCAGTTTGAGTTTCTCCGCTCTGTCTGAGTGGAAAGAAACAGAGATACAGACCAGGATTTCTCTCAATAAGGCCAGCGTATGCAGTGCACCCGCGTCTTCTTGAGAACAATTCTGCTCTGTGCCTCCGGTTTCTTTTTTCGGGTGGAGCGGAGAAACTCAAGCCGCTGCCGCTCAAACAATTTTTATCTGAACAGAGACCTTGGGCAGATGGGGAGCTCCTTCTGTGAGGAAATGGGGTGATTGAAAATGCAGCTATTTGCTGCATTTTATTTGCTGCATTTTCAAGCATTGCATTTGCACACAGAAGGCATTCCCCATCTCCCCAAGGTCTCCGTTCAGATAAAAATTATTTGAGCGGCAGCAGCTTCAGTTTCTCCACTCCGTCCGAAAAAAAGAAACCGAAGGCACAGAGCAGAATTGCTCTCAATAAAGCCAGTGCATACGAGCAAGTAGCGTACCCATGTCTTCTTGAGAGCAAGCCTGCTCTGCGCCTCTGGTTTCTTCCTTAAGAACGAAGCAGAGAAACCTAAGCCACTGCTGCCACTTGAGTTGGGAGGATGACAAGTAGAAGAATGGTCAGGATTTGGGCTACTGGCTGGTCAGGCAAGGAGTAGTTCGGGCAGGCTGGATGGATGGCTGGGGAGGGGAGGGGAGATTGTGGCCACTCAGGTGGCTGCAGCTACTGCCAGAAGCTTGGATATGGGTGCAAGGTGACTTGCTCCATGATGCCTTCCCACTTAGTTGAAGGCTTCATTCCTGCCCTCAAATTAAGGCTGGTGCACACAACCAATAAGTGCACCTGGGCATTGGTTCCTGTGCCCGGCCGACTCCGATTCCATGCTTTATCCTACAGGCAAGCAAACGAAGCAAACACTGCCCCCCCCCCCAAATGGAAGCTTCTGGGGACCATGATCTCTTTTGAACTTCCACAATATTACAGCACCCAGGAGCTTCCATTGTTGGTGAGAAAAGCATTTCCAAGCCAACTCTCCTCTCCCTCAAAGGGAAAGAAACTACAGCTGAGAGGATTTTTGCAAGGTAAGTGAGTCTGGCATGGCAGGGAGGGAGGGGGAACCATGAGGTATCTCAGTCAGGGAGGCCTTGATGGCCTGTTCCATCACTAGGCCCCCCCCATGGCCTTCCCCACCCTGAGATACCTCATGTGCACTTAATGAGCCACATGCATCTTAATAAGCAGGGAGTTTCCTCTTTCAAGGTACGAGATATAATGTACTTGGACTTCAGTAAGGCATTTGATAAAGTAGACCACAACCTACTATTTGGTAAGATAGAAAAATGTGGGTTAGAGAGCAGCACCACCAGATGGATTCGTAGTTGGCTGACCGGGCTGTACTCAGCATGTGGTCCTCAATGGAACTGCATCTACATGGAGGGAAGTGTGTAGTGGGGTGCCCCAGGGCTCTGTTCTGGGCCCAGTGCTCTTCAACATCCTCATCAACGATGTGGATGATGGGATAGATGGGGAACTCATCAAATTCGCAGACGACACCAAGCTGGCAGGAGTAGCCAACACTCCAGAAGATAGGCTTAAGATACAGGAGAATCTGGACAGATTTGAACACTGGGCACTATCTAACAAAATGAAATTCAATGGTGAAAAAAGTAAAGTTCTACATTTAGGCAAGAAAAACCAAATGTACAGGTATAGTATAGATGTTACCTTGCTAAGTAGCAGTAACTGTGAGAGGGATCTCGGAGTCCTATGGACAATCACTTAGATATGAGCCAGCAGTGTGTTGCAGCTGCCAAAAAAGCCAAAGTGCTAGGCTGCATTAACAGAGGGATAGAATCAAGATCACGTGAAGTATTAATACCACTTTACAATGCCTTGGTAAGGCCACACTTGGAATACTGTATCCAGGTTTGGTCACCACCATGTAAAAAAGATGTTGAGACTCTAGAAAGAGTACAGAGAACAGCAACAAAGATGATTAGGGAACTGGAGGCTAAAACATATAAAGAACGATTGCTGGAATTGAGTATGTCTAGTTTAACGAAGAGAAGGACAAGGGGGGACATGATAGCAGTGTTCCAATATCTCAGGCGCTGCCACAAAGAAGAGGGAGTCAAGCTATTCTCCAAAGTGCCTGAAGGCAGGACAAGAAGCAACGGATGGAAATTAATCAAGGAGAGAAGCAACCTAGAACTAAGGAGAAACTTCCTGACAGTTAGAACAATTAACCAGTGGAACAATTAACCTGCCTCCAGAAGCGGTGAATGCTCCAACACTGGAAGTTTTTAAGAAGAGACTGGACAGCCATTTGTCTGAAATGATATAAAGTTTCCTGCCTGAGCAGGGGATTGGACTAGTGACCTCCAAGGTCCCTTCCAACTTTATTATTATTATTATTATTATTATTATTATTATTATTATTATTATTATTATTATTATTATTGTTGTTGTTGTTGTTGTTGTTGTTGTTGTTGTTGTTGTTATTGTTGTTATTATTATTATTATTATTATTATTATTATTATTATTATTATTCATTAGACGTGAACCTCAGTCAACTGAACATTCAAATTGACTGGCGCTGATGGTTGCTTCCAGCATCCTAGGTATCAACCAGGTACCTCCTTAAAATGTAAGATGTTCCGAATAGCACAGTTTTTTGTAGCATTGCTGGAGTTATTGCAGGAAGCTGCAGTTTCTTGAAACATTTTGCAAAGTTTTGGACATAGTTCCTAGTGCCCCGATGACAATGGGAATCACTGTTACATGTTTCATCCATAATCGTGCAGTTTCGATGGCCGGGTCATGATATTTCGTAATTTTTTTCAGTTCTTTTTTTTTGACTCTGGCATCTCCTGGTACAGTGATATCAATCAGCTGTACACTTATTGTTGTTGTTATTATTGATCATTGCACAGTCAGCCAGATGTTCAGACTGGATTTGGCATTTTTGTCTAACTATCGAGAGCTTACCAAGGACCTGGGATAGGCAGATATGGATGTTTGATGGTATTACAGATATCGTTGCAAGATGGAAGCAGTTCCTAGTAAGGCCGCCTTTTGCAATTAACTTATTATTATGCAATTGACTTATTATTATGCTATTATTATTATTATTATTATTATTATTATTATTCACTCTCACAAATTTTCGAGTTACAAATGGAATGGGCAGGCTCCATTACATTCATAACTCAAAGACTACCTGTTTAGTGTACTTCCTTATTTCCTAGTTTTAATTTTAATGTCACTCAGAGAATGGGGAGCGTTGAACAGCCTTCTAAATTTGATAAATAAATAAATAAATCCACATCATGTCCTAAAGAGCTTTAGGATTTAAATTTCACCAAAATAAACCCTTTAATCTTTTTTTTTTCAGGACTTTTTTTTCATAATCATGCCCTATTAATACATATTTTTTTGCCTTAGTCCTATGATACTGCCCTTATTTTGT